GGGGGGGGGGGGACATTTTTTGTAAAGAATATCATTGAAATTTTTTGTAAAGATTCTCCCTTTATTAAATACATACAAAGCCTAGCTTTACACTTCTTCTCCTTTACCTTTCTCTTCGGATCCAAGAAGAATCGGAATATTCAACTACTTATCATCATCTATCATTGTCAGAAAGCTCAGTGGAAAATTTCACCCTTGTTGGGTGAACTTTGTCTCATTTTGTTACTTAAAAGCTATTTATTATCATTTATTGTTATTTTCCATGTTTTCAAGCCATTATTGCTACATCCTTATCTTACGATATTCTTGACTAATAGCTCACATTAAATATCCTCCATTAAAATACTAGATCTGTTATTGAATATTAATATTGATTTTGATTAACCCTCATCTTCTATAAATCCAATTGTATAAAAATCAAGATCTAATTTTTGCGTTATACAGTTTGGCGCTGTATGTGGAGATATCTTAGTCAAACTATTAGTTTTCATTCGGATCTACATCTTCTGTAACTTGTTAACCTAGCATACTTTAGAGCTATCCTTTTTCTCTTCGCACATAAGGATTTCATGTCAGGTAACCAAGGAAAGGGAACAAGAGCAACAGACAAAGTCCCGCTCAACCTTATGAGTGCCATCGATGAAGGGTATGAAACTCAAGATGTAGAGGTAACTCCCATGGCATCCCCCATATTAGGGAAATCGCCGACACCCTTTTGTAGCACTACCAACCCGAATGGAAAAGATGCACCACGTCCGTGAAAGATAAAGCACCACCCGTTATGAAAAATCTCCTCAAAGCTTGGCTAACCGATACTTTGGTTAGCGTAATGTAAAGCAGGCCCCGTGAACGACGAGGAAACCCCAAGGATCCAGGCAACACAACGCAGGAATGAATAAGACGACCAACCAAACCCTCTTACTTTAGATAATACCCATATAATTACTGACAATGTCCTCACCGCCGTGTTAAAAAGAATGAAGGAAATGGAGAGAGAGAATAGGGCGCTAAAGGAACATATGAAGGAACAACAAGAACGAGTAGACAAAATACCAGGTGCCCCCAAAATGGTTACCAAAAAGAGATACCGTCATGTTCGTGGAGCAACCATAAACGGAACAACTGATCTCGAGGACCATGTAACCGACATATCACTGACGTGAAGGGAAACGACCTCACTAAAGAATATATGTCCTCCATCTTGTTGAAAAAATTTGATCAAATCCTCACAGGAGGGACGTTGACATGGTACTTGCAGTTACTTACCTATTCCATAGAAACATTCGAAGAGATGGCAGAGAAGTTCGTGACGACGCATGCTAGGGCCAAGAAGGCCGAAACGAGGTGAACAATATCTTTACCAATAGACAATTCCCAGGGGAAGGACTGAGGGACTTCTTAGCCCAATTCAAACGGGTAAGGATGACCTTACCAAATGTATCTGAGGGAATGGCCATGGCAGCCTTCCAAAACGAGCTAAACAAAGAAGACTCAAATGCGACCAGAAAACTACGGAGCTGATTAATGAAGTACCCACCGACAATCTAGGACGAGATCGACAATGCCTACTGTGCCAAAATCAGGGCGGATGGCGAAGACCTCAATGGGCCAACCAAATAACTCACTACAGTGCAATCCGAACCTAAGAGAGAACGTAGGGACAACGTAAGAAGAGACCCCCCCAACGTTGCAATCAAACATAGACCGACATCAACCTTATATCAGAGCACCCATCCCCAATTTCCGACACGAAGACGGGCCCTCTAGGACGAGATCAGACATACACATAAACGATCGAGGTATTGCTCCTTTACTATCTGCTCATAACCTTTGTGTGTCATCTACGAAAATGGTCTACGCACTCGAGAAACTCGAAAATATATGGAGTGGCTACCAAAGATAATGTCTGACTGAAGCACCTGGAAGTCGGATACCTTTTGCGAGTTCCACCAAGATCGTAGACATAAGACTACCACGCTCTAAGGCTAGAAATGTCAAACCTTCTGCAACAAGGACACCTCAAGGAGTTACTCATCGACAAGGACATGAACACATTAGCAAATGGTCGAGAATGCCCAGGCCCACCAAAACCGCACTCATCTGCTTGCACCATCAACATGATTATTGGTGGCAGTGATGATGCCTCCATCAATGACATCAAGTTCACCGCCACTCACAAACTCAAGAGATTGATCACCCACGAATGCTATGATGGCCTCGAAGAGAGTAATATCTTTGATGAGTCAGATACCGACGGTTTTACTTTTCCTCACATTGATGCACATGTCATTACTTTACGAATTCTTGATACTGATGTTAGGAGAATTATGGTGGATGGCGTAAGTGAAGCGTGCATCATCCATCCTCGAGTCCTCGCACAGATGCGACTTAAGTATAAGATAGTGCCGCGCTGTATTACACTATTCGATTTTAAATGAAGTTGAACAAACTTCGGGCGAGATCACACTCCCCGTCCTCGCCGATGGGGTAAGGTTAGAGACCATGTTCCATATCATGGATCAAGACACAACGTACAATGCCATCGTAGGTCGACCATAGATACACCCCATGAGGTCGGTCTTCTCTAGCCTGTACCAAGTAATCAAGTTCCCGACCCCATAGGGAATATTCAACATACGAGGGAAACAACGCACATCCCGGGAATGCTATCGGATCTCCCTAGATGGCATGAGAATCCAAAAAAAGAAAGAAAAGAAAAAGAAGTATAGAAATCAGTAGGGTCGAGTTCCCTACAGGTCGAAGCCAAGGACGCCATTATAGATCCAGAAATGGCTAAAGTGGCATGATCAACCATAGAGGACCTGGATCCCGTCCAACTAGATCAAAGCGACCCCAACAAAAAGGCCTACATCGGCTGTAAACTCAACTACCCAGGTAAATTTTGTCAATTTTTAATAGCTAATAGGGGTTTGTTTGCCTTTAGCCATGCAGATATGCCAGGCATCCCCAAATAGATAGCCATGCACAAGTTAAATATCGACCCCAACTACCCTTCGGTAAGGAAGGTTCGACAAAATTTTAAATCTGCTATCAAAATGGCTATCCATGAGGAGGTGGAAAAATTCTTGGCCAATGGTTCTATTAAGGAGTCGAAGTACCCAAGTGGATTGCTAACGTGGTAGTGGTAAAAAAGAAGAACTAGCAGTAGAGAATATGCGTGGAATTCATTGACCTAAACAAACCTTGTCCAAAAAATTCGTTCCCATTGCCACGCAACGATCAACTTATATACACCACATCAAGACACGAGTTGCTAAGCTTCTTGGACGCTTATTCGGGTTACAACCAGATACTTATGGAGGAGGAAGACTAGGAGAAGAATGCATTCATCACTCACATGGGAACGTACCGCTACAAGGTCATTCCATTTGGGTTAAAAATATGGGGGCTACCTATCAAAGGCTGGTCACGAAGATGTTCAAACACTAGCTCGACAAAATCATGGAAGTATACATCGACGACATATTGGTTAAATCCTTGAGCGCCAAAGACCACATCAACCATATGAAGGTAGCATTTGAGATATTGAGGAAATATGGGAAGAAACTTAACCCAAGAAATGCACTTTTGGCATAACTTTGGGTAAGTTTTTGGGTTTCCTAGTATCACAACGCGGAATTGAGGTCAACCCAGATCACATTAAGGCAATTGACGTGATATCATAACACTTAACCACCAAAAAATAAGTCCAAAAACAGACTGGTAAAATCGCCCTCCTATCCAGAATGAACAATAACCTTGAATGGACGCCTGAATGTACACAAGTGCTAAAGGAACTCAAAGAATACCCTTCATCGCCACCCTTACTCTAAAAGTTTGATCTCGAGGAACATCTCATCGTCTACCTTGCTATTCGAAAGTAGCAGTAAGTATTGATACCCAATTTTTCCCTATATATTTTTAAATATGCAAATACTTTCAAAATATCATATGTGTGCATATATAAGTATGTCTAAACGCTTTATTATTTTTCCTTAATTTTTAAAGATTTTTAAACTAATTTATTTCCCTATTTTTATTCATAAAAAATCCAATAATATTTCCCAAAATTAGAGTTTGATGATTCATTTATTGGATTCTCATATTTATGCCAAAATATAGATAATATAATTTTTTCATATTTTTACAAATTTATTTAATATTTTAAAGCCAAATTGCATATAATTACAATATTAGCCTCTTTTAAGATTTAATTGCGTTTACATTTATAAAGATTAAGTCTAGTATTTTTAAATTGATAATTATATGTTATAAAACATTCTAGTACTTTCAATTTAATTCCAAAATTTAATTTGCTATATTTATAAAATAAATGGGGAAAATGGTTAATTAAAATCTAACCAGATTTCATTTCAATTTCAGCCTAATTTGAACCCCAATTGTAACCCAATTTACCCCGACCCAATTTCAAATTAAACCGAACCTTTACCCATTTAAATGACCCAACTCGGGTTTCCCACCTAACCACTTTAATCCCAGCAGTTGATCGTTTAGATCAACAGCTCCCATTACTCCTTACCATTTTAACCCAAACCAACCCCTAAACCTAATTCATTTCTCACCTACCGCCGCCCTTGAATCCCCTCCTCTCTCAACTCTCTCTGATACTCTCATGAACCCTAGCCGCCGCCCTCTCACCCCACCCTGATATCTGCCTAATCCATGGCCTTCCATGGTCATTTGAGACTTGTACCAGCCTTCCATGGCTTCTATGTGTTTGTTCTTGTGGTTTCACGGCCAGACCTTGAAGGATCCTGGTCCAGTCCTTGGTCGATTTCAGTTCATGTCTCTTCTCCGGCCAACCATGGTCGTTCGAGTCAGAACCTTGACTCTCCTGGTTAGATCGATAACTTTCAGGGCCTTTCTCACCTTTTCTGGGTTTTTCGAAACCCTAATCTTTAAGATCTTTTAACTTTATTTCTAATATGCTTTAGATATGTGATTACCTTGAACTTTTAAACATTTTCTTGAAGTTTCTTTAACTTTGCTTTCAAAACGACTCTTCATCTTTTTCGATTAGGGTTTTTCTTTTAAGTTATTTCAAAATCTCTTCTTTGATTTTAACATATTTGTGATTCTGCTATGTTTTGCTCGTGTTGTTCTTCTATCTGAGTTAGCATGTTGAAAACCCTAATTTCTTTTAGGTCTCAATCGAGTCCTGAAGATGTTTGTTAAATGTGTGCTTGTTTGTTTAAACTCTTGCTTGACTTGTCTGTTTACCATCTTTTAAACTAGGTTATTGCTGAAAACCCTAGGTCTTTTTGGCCTGGAACTGTTTGTTTGAGCATGCACGTGATGCGATTAAAGTTCTTTATTTTTGGATCTTTTATTTATGAGGTTATTTGATTCTGAGTTTTACTATCCTTTAAACTCAATTGTTGTTGAAACCCTAACTTTTTCAAAAGGTTTCCTCACTTGTTACTGTGAGACCTTTACTCGCTTTTGACGCTCTTCTTTTCTTTGGCTATATGTGTGAGCCCTGACTATCTACTAAACCATATGCTTATTCCTGCTGCTATTGTATGTTATTTCTTTTGCCAATAGGTTTGGCCTCACATGTCTTATGTCTTGCTCACTCTATTTATATGCTGGAGTTTCTTCCTTGATTGATCTTCATCTTATGATTGATTTCTAAACCTTTTCCTTTATGAACCCTAATTTCACTCGCTTGTTCAAAGCTGATTGATTCTTTTCCTTTACTATAATATTTACCTTGCTGATTTCTTTCCCAAAATAAGCATATCTCTGTACTGAGACTTGATTGCTTACTTAATAGTTTTACTATTCCTCTCCCCAAGAGCAAGGTGGGAAGTTCTTGGAGGTAAGGATGTCGGGGGTCTATTTGGAAACAGCTTCTCTACCCTAGGGTAGGGGTAAGGTATGCATACACACTACCCTCCCCAGACCCCACTAAGTGGGATTATACTAGGTTATTGTTGTTGTTGTTTTATGGCAACAATCAGTCTGCTTACATACTATTTTTCTTCCCTTATTTTGAATCTGTCACTACCGTTAAACAGTGATTCCTTAATTAAAGGGAATCACTTGTGTAATTGATTCTGACCTATGATTGTTTCCATGTTTGTATCTTTTCCTTCACTCGTTTTCAAAAACTATAAATACCTTTCACCTCTCTTCTTTCAAAAAAAAAAACGAACACTTGAGTTCAGAACACACACTCACTCAAAACTCTCTCTCTTTTCTCTGTTACTACTTGTGTTGCTGCCTTACCTAGTCGGCTGAAAGCCAAGGCTAGGCTGTGGGAAATTTTCTTACTTTCCTTCTGCATTTGCTTCTTTACTGGTATGTTCTAATTAATCTTCAGCCTCAACAACAACATGTTTCTTTACTATTTCTTGCACTCTTACCTGTTTCCTACTTGTATTTAATCGAGTTCCATTATTAAACATGCTGTGATATGCCCCTTCCTCTTCTGAATTAACATTTTTCTAATGTTTGAACTCTGTCAGTCACCTATGATGACTTATGAATCCCAAACCCCCATATCCCCTATGTGTTTATATTCCTTGGTTGGTTTGAGGGCATGTCAGCATTAGACATTGCTGTGCATGACCCAAACCTGACCCTCTCTGGATCATATGCTTCGTATCCTCTCTATGTGTTGTGTCCTCTGGCTAGTTTATGGGCATGCCAGCATCACTTATTGCTGTGCATGTCCAGATTTGACCCCTCCTAGGGTCATATGCTACCTGCAATGTATTCTCAAACCCCTACCCCCTTTGAGCAATTACTGATGCTGTATAATTTTAGCTATACTACTACTGTTTCCCAAATTACCCTTACCCCTTGTTATTCTCAACCCAGTTTTAAACAAATCTCTGTTTCTGCACTTCCACTATACTCTTAGACTTAGGTTCTGCCCCTCTTATGTGAGCCTTACCTTGGGACCCATGAGTTCCCTCTAAACTTGGACACATAAGGGCTGACCCTTCCACACTGCACTCATCTCTATCTGGTTATGCAAACTTGGGTGTGAGCACTGCTCGGGGTCCCCTTGAGACCCTTAGGGAGATTTGACACACTCAAGTCTGAGAAAGGCTTTGAAACAATAGTATTTGAGGTGATTTATTCCATAACTCAAAGAGGAAGTCAAGAATCAGACTTCCTCTGGTTGTAATTTCTTCTTTACACTTTTTCTGACGCAATCCATTATTTGGTCTGTAATAAGTTGTAATGAGCATTGGGGTTGACTAGTGAAAAGGGATGAGTAATTATGCATGTTTAGCTGTAGAAGGGTAGAAGACATGCCTATAGGACTTGTTTAAATTTTTGCATGTTTATTACCACTCTTAGATGCCATGCCTATAAGACTTGTTTTTTGCATGTTTAACTCTACATCTAGAGAACTTCTCTATAGGATTTGTTAAATTTTGCACGTCTAATTCGGCATTTAGAT